CTTTTCTTGAGAAGCAGTGGAAACTTCTGGGAAGCTCAGTGAAAAAAAGTCTGAGGAGATGGCAGTGAGCTAGAGATGAACATCCGATCATCTTCCTTCAACTTTAGCCTTGTCGTGATTGCCTCAGGAAGAGCGAGGAAGAAGTGCCGAAAAATGTAACTGTCACAGAACAATCGAATCTACACAGAGCCACTTAGATCCACTTAGCACATCAGGAATCTCTAGACAATCTTCTGTTTGTTTGTCCGCAACTGTAAAGTGGATAGATTCTATCCACAACAGGCTATGATGATGTCAACTAAAGGCCTGATTGCCCAAAAAAAGAGTGACAAAGCTGTTATACCACCTGTTGCAGTCAAAAGGTTTTTAAGATGATGATGTATGCGTTCTTTAATGATGTGTTCATCTCAAGATCTCGTGCCCACTCCCCCGAACCAAGAGACCGTGAGTCGGTGCAGCACGAAGAGAGGTGCTGAAATCCCAGCGGGCCGATTCAGCACCTCCGGGCGGGGCAGTGAATCGGAACGCGGCGTCGCAGGACCACAACGACGACGCGGGACCTAACGCGGCAGTCCAAAGGACGAGGTGGTCCGAAAGAACATCAAGGAGTTCATTCTTTTTTCCACAGGTCATTGACGAACACAACGAGTTCCTTCTTTGACTCTTGAGACTCTCCCATTGTGTTCTGCCTGCTTTGACACCAATCCATACACTTCACGTCCCTCCAAATGTCTTCGACCGACCTCCGCCAGTCGATTCACTCGCCCCTCCGTCGACCGACCCGCCCCCCTTCGACCAACGGCCGCCTCCGCAATCTCCACCTCCGTCAAGCCTCCGATCTCCGGGACCTGCGAGCCGTGGCGGCCACGCGACGCGACAGCCGACAGCCGCGACAGCCGTGGGACCCGATTTGCAGGATCCACATGGATTGAAAAGCTTCAAAAAAAGGACACAACGTTTGGTGGGTGAACACTGCTTCAAACATCTAAATATCAATCAAGGTTTTGGTCTCAGTTCTGCATCTAAGAATCCCAGTTGCATTTCGAAAGCTCCCCCCATACCGGCAAAAAGACATCAAGTCCCTATCCGGTCGCTCGTCCCCATCCGACTGCATCACAAGCGGATGGACCTCCATTGGACCCCCTGTCGTTGGCCTCGTGCGCTTCATGGTCCGGGCCCCGCGACTTCCGGAGCTGCGAGCGCAAGCTGCGCGCATCGCTCTGTCGTAGGTGGCACATGAGCGCTGCGGGGAACCTGAGACGCGACGCGACCAAGGTCCCGGGTCCGGGTCCTGCAAGCGGTTCGAATGGGTGGAAGATGGGACCTGAACAGGAAGGTGAGTGGGTGAGCTAGGGAATATAGCTGGAATAAGCGTGAATCGACAAAGAATGCTCGGCTTTTGGAAGATATGTGCATGAAATTGGAAAGCACTTCCCCATGTGGTTTAAGGATGACTATGGATTTGTTCAGGAGTTGAGATTCTGGACCAAACCGTTTTCGATACCGGTCAGAGTTGGTCGAGAGGCCGAAATCAAACTGCAACTGGGCAGTTGACAGTGTCTAAGGCTTCACCTGTAATGTTTAATTCGTCGCTGGTCTACAGTAAAATGGCATTTCGCCAGACCCAAGGACCGATGCACTTCACATGACTTCATGGTTGGTCGGTTGGTCGTGTCGCCATGGGATCTCCTGCTTCGATCAGATCAGTCTTGCAATCCGCATGAAGCGTCATGTGTCTTTCACTTCTAGCAACTGCTACAACACGACTTACAAACACCATCCCCGTGCTTTGGAACACCATCCCGTTACGTCAAATACTTGGCAGAGCGGACACGACCCGCCACAGACGTCCCAACACTCCCGAGCGGACACGAGCGGACGTGCGTGCGTCGCTCGGATCGGGCAATCCCACCGAGGCACGCAGGGATCCACCGGGCCAGCTCCATGAACTGCTCACCTGAGCTTCATCGAAAGAAATCCCGGGTCTTCACAGGGTCGAGTCTTCACATTGTTCAACACGTTCGATGGAGACGGTGCTTTCGTCTTACCACCTTCTCGAGGAGAGCTCGAGACCAAACATCTGTCGTCCAAAAAACACACGTCCGTCAACCCGATTGGGCGGAAACCGAAAGAAAATGAAACGATTGGGCGGACTCAACAGGGCAAGGCGGCATGGTTTTATAAGCCTTGGAGCTTGGAGCTTCCAAGAGAACTTTAGTGACCTGAACTAGGACCCATCACCTGGGGTACCTATGGGATAGTCTATAGTCTATAGGGTTCTTCAACCTCTGTTGCTTGGAGCTCATTGTTTCCTCCCTTCCGAAAACGGGCTCTGGAGCATCTCGCTTTTTCTTGGATCTTTCGGGTGGGGGGAAGGAGCTCTGGGTGGAGCTCCGGAGCCAAAGACGACTCGGACTTCACCACGTATTGGAGTCAAGGCACGCTCCACCTTCTGACTGGATTCGGTATACAACTTCCTGCCAGCGATGCATTAGAGCTATATGTCCCCAACAAAAGTCCGCGAATTCGCCGCGGTTTTGGCCGCTTTGGCCGCGGTCGGTTTTTCGCCCTACAGTCCACACCCCCCATGCTTCGCCCAGGTCGGTGGTCAGTGGTGGACTGCGAACGGCGGTCACGCGTGGTCACGCGAACGCGACCGGGGTCCTGGAGATCTCCAGGATGTCGTCCCACAAGTCGCGCACGCGGGCGAAGCGCATCCGCGACTGGCTGGCCCTGAACCTGGGACCACCCGAGGCAACGGCAAAGCAGGCGCGCGAGGTCGGCGGTCGTAGCAATGAAGAAGATTATATAAATATATTACGGTTCTTCGGACTTCCTTCCTTCATCTCATAATATAGTTATTTCATGCTTTTTCCTATATATGACTCATGACCATTCTGAGTTTCAGGTCGGTTCCAGGTCCAAGCGACGCCAACAGAAGGCCCAAGGCGACGAAGCCAATGCTGAAAGGTTCCACCGGCAAGGTCAAGTCCGGCGCACCTCGAACGCGAGGCACAGAGGTTCGGAACCGAACCGCAGAGGTCCAGCACCGGCTCCCTCAGTGGCTCCCTAAAGGGAACCACCAAGGCAGTCCGGGCGCTCATCAAGCACCGGAGTTCAGCAGTGTTGGATCAGGAGCATCAGGAGTCCGGTTCCTCAACTCCGTTCGCTCCCGTGACGGGCGATCCATCCCCCGTCCTCCTGGCACGGCCAACTCGTCGTAGAACAAGGCCGCCTTGGTGCTGACTCAAAGGAACGAACGTCGACGGTCGTGGTCGACGGTTCGTCATTGAGGTCGACGGTCGTCCAAGCGTTTCTCCGATGCTTCGGACCGGAATTCAGAACGGTGCTGCCACTGGGTCGTGAAAGCCTTTTCTCCGGTGAACACTCCGGTTCAATCAGAAACGGTCTCCAACAGACTTGGGAGGGATTCAATGTTCGATCCATCTATGTTATGGCCGCAGTATTGCTGTTGCATGCTATTGCTGACAATCGGATCGACGAAAGCAGTCCAGTCGAGAAACAGCTGAGACAAAGTTTAGAAGCAGAAGAGGACGTTGCAACCTGCGATCGTCGCTGCATTTCGCCGCATAAGACTTTGCCTTGGGTCTATATATCCCAGACACAGAAGGGCCCTATGGATGATGATGATGATGATGATGATGATGATGATGATGATGATGATGATGATTAGGTCCAGGTTGTCAGCCTTCCTCTAAAGTCGTGATAATTGTCTAGCGACTGTTACAGCAATAGGACGAATAGGACGGACCCTAACTCTGCCAAAACAACGAATCCTTCACCAACAAAAGGTGTAGCAAACACTGTCAGTGCTGGCCTCTGCAGTACATCCAGACCCAGGACTGCCTTCACCAAATCAATGTAGCGACCGTCCTGTTTCGTGTCTTCCCACTCCTTAGATGTGTCCAGTCAATCGCAGGTTTCTCTGAAAATGAGGGAATGACGTTGAAGACGGCTTTCATGTGAGTTGGGTTGAAAAATAAGACCATATCGTGAATCTGCATGCCAAACCCTCAAATATGCTTCTCATGTGTGTACTGGAAGTGAATTCGAGACGGTCCCTCCCGTTTCGACACGCACAGGCCGCCTCTGCGCCGAAAAAAGCGCCGACGCCGACGCCGACGCGGCGCAGGGCTGAGCTCGGCGCATCATATCCGAAGGGCTTCAAGCTGGTCCGTTCACCTGCTCCGTTCACTCAAGTCGGAATGCACCAGTCATATGAGTCTGTGGAGTCTGTGTTCCGAACGTGTCTTCAGTATGTTTATCTATCATGTACCATGTTGTATGCAACTGGTCAGAAGGCTAGTGAGCAGCGGGATACCAAGAATACCATAGAATACCTTTCTCTTGCCGCAAGGGGGGGTGGCCCCCAACCCCCAAAGGCCTGCCTGTTTGAAGAACGAAGCGATACACCAAAATGGGCGAGATGATCAGCAGCAAATCCGAAAACCTCATGTCTCTAGAGTCAACCCCCGCAGATGCGACGCATTGAGGCGCGAGTACCTGCCTCACGTGTGTGCCTCAGAGTACCTGCCTCAGAGTACCCTCACACTTCTCCGACCATGGAATGATGCCAACCCAAACAGAATACCTGAACCATTCACGACACTCACATCACATAGACCCTCAAACAAAAAAGAGCAGTTCTCATAGATAGATCGAAAAAGGAACAGTTCTCATACTGACTGGTGCGTCTCGCAGGGAATGAGGGTGGCTGGATCCAAAGGAATCTCTAGACAGGGGCTCGTTCCCTTATTCCCTACTAAGCATCCGTCAGCATAGATAGATCGAAAACCACCACTTGTGAAGTGCTCGGTGCAGCCGTAGGATTCGCGCTGCTCGGCCCAGCGGCACGGTCAGATCTTGAGAGCTCAGGCCGGCAATGCCCAGGGCATTTCGAGGGTTCTGCACCGGGTTCCGCTTAGGGCAAGACGAAAGGCTGAAAGAACTATAGTATCTATAGTGGATTAGTAGATGGCGCAATCTCCAAGTTAGGTGGTCTAGATAGATCCCCATCTAAATCACCTGGTGCGGCATCTACTCTGAAACCACTGTAAAGAAAGATTCATAGATCTTGTATTGATGTCGTAAAGCTGTTGTGGAAGACAAGACATAAGAGGGGGAGAAGCTTCTTGCGAGAAGGCCTGATGCTTCCTGCTTAACATGAGAACTGCAAAGTAAGGCTTTATACCTTGATGTGGGGGTTGTGCCATCTGCTCGACTTGCAGTCCTGGATACGGGTAGGGACAAGCATAGTGGATCCAGCCATGACCTTGGAAGGCCACAGACCAAGGCAGCGGCAGGGGTTCTTGCGCCCAAAGTGTCCATGGTTGATACTGCTGGATTTGGTTGGCGCGATTGTTTGCAGGCAAGTCACATTCTTTGGAGGATTCAAGGTTGTCTTGTGCCAAAGCACCAAGAAACTCCAGGTTGAGCCAAGAAATGGACACAAATAGATCCCAAGAAGCCTCAGAGGCGGATGCTATATCTGTGGTGCAAAACCTGTTACCCTTCTCCTGGACTCCTGGACAAAAAGAAAAGGCATGTCCAATGAATTTCGAAGCGTTGTCCCATTTTTGTCCAAGATGCAAGAGCGACAATGCCCGAGAAGAAACCTAAGGACATGTCTGGGCACGTCGGCATGACATGTTAATACATGTTCAGGATTATTCACAGAAAATTCATGGTTCTTTGTTTGGAAGTGTTTTTCTCAGTTAGTTAGTTGGCATTTCAATTGTCAAACGCATGTTTTTTCCAGAAAATCTGAGCACCCGACAGAACGTTTCCGCGAAAGCATCCTTCAAGATGCTCCGACACCCGTCACAGTCTGATTTTGTGCTCCGAAGCGACTATCTGAGTCTGATCCAAACGGCTAGCGGCTAGCTGCAGGTTCAACCCATTCCAAAAACTGTCGAAAAAACTGTGAGCTCTTGAGAACTGTTCAGGAGTCACCATGTCAGATTGCCAATTCAGTAGTTTTTCTGGAAATTGCAAGGCCAGGAAAAGACTCTGAATGGCTGAAACGGCTCAATGCGATGATGTCAATCTGAAGTTTTGAAAAACCACTGTCGCCTTCAAGCTGCCGCATTCCACAAAACCCACCCTCCTGCCTTTACTCTGATCTGCATGGCAGCTGTCATTGTTGCGGTGTTCAGTTTGACTCTGCCAAAAGTTTTTGTATGCAGTGGTTGGTTGCTTCTAAGAACGCATGAGAGCACGAAAAGTGTCCAAAAATGCCTGTTGTTTATAGGCGTGTACTTTCTGACAAACGCCCATATGGAAACAGATGTGATCCGAGCCAGAAGGGCTCAGCGATGGAGCTGGCGATGGTGCAACCAGTCAAGTTGAACCAACGGCAAGTGGGGTATTGAAAAAGCCGTGTTTTTTTGCAATACCTCGAAATCACGTTATCGCGTTTCTTTACTCTTATCGGTTTCTCCGGTGTTGGGTTTTATGCACACAAGAACTGTCAAGATAGCAGGTTTCCATGCATGTGAAAGCATCTTTGGTGGTCCTACTTCAGGATCCCGTAGCACTGTTTGCACCAAGGCGTGCACGGTCTTTGGTGGTAAAGACATGGCAGTAACAAACAAAAAGCTAAACAAGACTACCGCGCCGCACACTTCTGCCCTTGAAAAGGTCTAATGAAGACAGTGAAGTGGGTACTTGCCCACCAGGGGTGTTTTTCGCATTATTGCGTCGTTATCATGTTGTTGTCGTTCTGGACATCTCTGCAGGTTGCCATTTTCGTCGCTCATGTACTGGCAGCATATGGACCAAACAGCCCAGTCAGTGCGGTTACTGAATGGAAAGTGAGATTTGAAAGCTAGGTTCTCACCTCCCCCTTCAGCAAGGGGGGTGTGGGAGGAGGATAGTCAACTCTAACATTACCTATCTATTGTTAATGGGACAGGTTGAAGCCCATGAGATGCGCAGGTATATATAGTCATTATCGCTTTTTACGCTTATCGTTTTCTGGGGTAGGAATGCATGTGTATTGTTAAGGTGCATGCCAATACTAAACTGCTGAGCGCGGGCTTATTTCAATTTCCCACGTCTCAGTCAAGCCATTAATTTCTCCGATCCTGTATAGGGCGCCGGGTCGCTCAGGCGCCAGTCCTTGCCGATGAGTGGCACTCTTTGGCCAACTCTCACTGGTGAGTGGCGCCAGTCAAGTTGAGCCAACGGCAAGTCTCAGTCAAGCCATTTTTTATCCGATCCTGCTATAGATGAAGCCATCTCCGGCATCTCCCTCACTGGTCAGACCTCAATCTTCACTTGCATCGGACAAACGTCATTCAATGCAAACATGTTCGGCCCGCGGCTCCACAGGAGCTGCTCCAACCAGGTGATTGATGGTCTCCTGACGGGAACGAACAATTGCGTGGCCTGCTCCAAAAACTTGCTCACAACCCCAAAAAAAAACAAGTCAAGCCAGTCAAGCTTCCTCCGCGGCAACTTCTGTCTGAAGAATCCACCACCGCCAGCGCAAGGCCACCTGAGCCACGCTTATGAGCAGGGCGAGCGCGCGCGCGCGCTGTAGATGAAGCCATCTCCGGCAAGTCAAGTTGAACCAACGGCAAGTCTCAGTCAAGCCATTATTTTCTCCGATCCTGCAAAACGTGATGAGGCCATCTCCCTCACTGGTCAGACCTCAATCTCTACTTGCATTGTACAAACGCCAGTCAGTCAATGCAAGCATGTTCGGCCCGCGGCTCCACACAGGAGCTGCTCCGATGATGTTGTTAAAACAATTGCGTGGCCTCCTGCAAAAAGATTGCTCGCAACCAAAAAAGACTAAGTCAAGCTTCCTGTGTCCC